AGAATTTTAAGAAAATCTGTCCAGATTGTTCATAATTTTGTGTATATGGGTCAACCTTTATTAACACTTTTGCCCATCCTTAAAATTCACTTTTATTACTTAGAGTTTACCAATATTATCACCCACATGTGTATAAGAGACAGCCCTTAAAATGCCTATCCCCCACTCTTAGTTTTCTACAGTTATATAATAACCCTGCTGACTGTCGAACAAACCAACTGTCAAACCAGAATGTGTTTATTGTAGGGCCTGGAATGCATAAAAGCACTGATACTCTATATCAGGGGTGAGAATATAAATCGGTAGTGAATTTTTGATTTAACACCGAGGGCCGCACCCAAACATTGATGTTTCCAGTGAGCTTCCAAAAAACTACAAGCACTGCTTTTACACCACTTTATTCTCAGTTTAAATGTTATTTTTTACATATAAGTGTTGGGCCGTAAAACACAAGGATGTGTTTTCTAGCCAATGTTGCTTGGCAGACCATACACATAGGGTTTTCAATTCATTTTTGCAGGCAGCCAAAAAAAAAAAAACGCTGCCAAGCTGCATTCGGCCCGCGGGCCCCACTCTGCCCATCTGTGCTCTATATGATGTACTATAGGCCTTGTAAAAAAATTATTGTTTTGCATCGCCTTCCGACCCTAAAATTCAGGCCGACTACATTCTTTTTTTCTTTAAATTAAAAAAAACACAAAATTTTATACACAATTACGTGATGTATCATAAAGATAATTGTAGCCCTACAGTTGTTATAAATTCAGTTGTTTTGTGAGATCTTAGCCTCACAATCCAAGGGGCAGGACAGGGTGGACCAGGGAACTCTCGGGTTTAAAACCCTGAATGGAAAATGCTGCACAAAACCACCTTCTCCATAACATATCAAAAAAGTTAAGTCAAAACTTGAATGTAAAGTTGAATTTATTCATTCACCTTCCTGTGACAGTTGAAAAGTAAACATTCTGAGCATTTTATCTTAAGATTGGTTGTGAGATCCACGCACCACTCTATGCGGCTATTATACGAACGTGTGAGATTGATGCTAGTGTACGTTTTCTTTGATTAGTGATGATCACTTCCTCAGGTTAAGCAACCTTACAATAATCAGCAATGCAACATGAAATTAACCTAGTTTTCGAAATACCACATACTCTAAAATTTACTATTCTACACAACTGCGGAGCTAAATTGTCATGGATACATGCTTTAACTACAGCAACGGTTGCTATGTGGGATATTGTACGATGTCCATAAGAAGAAAGATAAAGGCCAGAAATGAAGGAACATACGTTATTACTGTACATTGATATATATATATATAATCAATCAATGTGTATATATGTGGCAAAGACAAGGGAAAAAAAAGTCACTCGTCCCAAAAATCGATTTTTAGTCAATACAGGGTTAAACAGTAAAATGAGAGCTATAAAATGGGAAAAGAATCTTTTTAAAGAACAATATTTGAGAAATCAGCCTTCAAAGTTTACGATTTCAGGCATTTCTAGCATGTTCTGGCCATTATCTCCAAAACAGGATTTGCGACGAGTAACTGATTTGGCTTCACACACACACATATATATATACAGTATATATTATAACTGAAGTAAACTATCGCAATTATTACAAGCAGAGTGCTCAATGGTAGACCAGAGCGGATATAAATGAATAAAAAGCGAGGTTCAACAGTAGCTTTGATTAGACATTTTATTACTACTTAGTTTCGTACCACACACATGGTGTGACACTCTTCAGATAAAATTGCCTAATACAGTATATATTATATATATATATATATATATATATATTGCAATCTACAGTATGACACAGAAATGTTACCCACTAGAGTTGTCTTCATCAAAATGGGTGCAAAATTTTTTCTATCTCAAGTTAATATGGAAAAAAAATTAAAATAATCATAATTATAGAAATAATAACAATTTAAAAATAATTAATTTCATATCTTTAAAGAATATTTCGGACCTTAATAGATAAGTCCTGGGGTATGACCTTTTGTTTCAGGCAGAGTATAGATAGGTGGCCTGCAGGGTTAGTCAGTCCAAACTAATGTCTACTATATCAAAAGTTAGTAAGTAAATAATGATTACAGGTTATTTTACACACTAACATAATGTGTCTCATTATTCATCAATGAATACATAATAATAGAAGGAAATCAAGATGGGCAAAGTTCTAGTTTAAAATAAACAATTAAAATTAAATTTGGAACTGTTATGGGTCAGACTGTATATGATATACTGTATGCTATACATGAACAAAAACGTAGAAATGCCAGAGCACTGACTTACGATACTATAAGTATAAGAGGAACAAATGGGGGGGGGGGGGAGAGGGGGGTGGGGGA